GGAGAGTGGCTGCTAGAGTAGCTGCTGGAGTAGCTGCAAGAGTAGTTGCTTGTCTGTATATAGGTCTTGAAGCTTCCTGTTCTTTGCATTATTTTTGGCATAGCTGGCACAGCTACATCGCTGATGCTAAGGAAGATCTTGTGCCTCGTCAAGCTGGTGGGAAGCGCCACTTGAAGAATCGCTCAGCGCAATCTTCCGTGTGTAGCATGATGTAGTGCGGTGATCCGTGAGTGTACACTTTTAAGGGCACCGATTAGGCAAATCTCTGTGGAGCATCGTGGTTGACCTTGAAATCGCCATCAGCACTTATCCAGAACGAGCTGCGTGATTGGACCCTGGGATCAGGAAACGTGAGATGTATAGGAGAGAATGCTTGGATGATTTGGATGGTTTGGATGGCCATTTTCTTGCCAGCTGCGAAAGTCAGGTCAACAAAGTTGACATGAACTAAGTCAGCTCCTGCAACAGTCTCAAGTTATTCGTTTCGATGGTAGCGTATGGCCATCAAAAGCTTGCGCAACTTTTCACAGCAGCAGCTGCAGTACAGCTGGCTGCACTGTTGGCGAATGAGAGCAGCTTCCTCCGAGGTGGTGGTTGCATGAAAGCCATGTGAGAGATGTGTATACTTTATGGGCCGCTGATGTGTGCAGATGTCTTGTACAGCGCAAAAACTGACATATACTGCCTTGCAGCTGCCACAGGGTTAACGTGCTGCAAAAAGTTTTCCGCTAGCTTGTTGGGCCCAAGAATGTTTGGCCGCGGGACAGAGGTTTTGACAGGCTTAGCCTTGGGTTTGACTACTACTATGCAACATCAATTCCAGCGAGGTGTGGGACAACAGGTGGTTATTTGCCCGCTTGAAGGGATTTTGGACAACCGTTGTAAGGGTCCCGCCTAAGAACACCATGACAGCGCGCTGCCAGTCTTTGGTGTCGCCTTTCAACCATATTGCGAGTTTGCGTTTGCAACAGGCGAGTGCTGGGCACAAACAAACTGCCCCAGGTCCTTTTGGAAGCAAAGCCATATCCGGGGCAGGAGAGGAGTCTCGCCCTCCAGCTGACCTCAGCGGCTTTCTTTCGAGCAGAGGCGCAGCCTGCCCGGGATCTCGGTGTGCTCGCTGCCGCTTGGATGCTCTTGGACCGCTGGGTTTGCAAAAGCGCGGGAGCAAGCCGGCAAAAGCGCGCGCGCACGCACGCATGCACGAAAGCAAGCAAGCAATCGAGCAGGCAGGCAGGCAGGCAGGCAAGCAGACAGGCAGGCAGGCAAAGTAAAGCAAACCACGCTAAAGCAAGCGCCGCAAGTTTCTCCGTGAATTGGGGACACAATGAGCCCTCCCCCGCTTTTTCATAGAAACCAGCAGAGGGGTCCATCATTTTGTTTTTATCCAAACATTTGTATTTTCAACCGAGTTTTCATGTTGTTTTTAAGCAAACATATGCTTTTTCAGCACAATTCGCTGGTTTTATGGGGCGCTTCCAGGTGCATCGTTTACGTCAGGCCAGCAGCCTCCGAAGGCTGGGCTACTGCTCAGTGCTGGAGCTCTTCGCCGGCTGCGGGGTGCGCGCCGCGCGGTATCTGCTGGAAGGCCGGGCGAAAGCGACGGAAAGCGACGGAAAGCGACTTGGGGCGGCCCGTCGTCTTTGGGGGTGCCCGGTGTAAAGGGTTGGTGAAAAAAGGGAAGCCGAAAAGAAGACTTCGCCATCATTCTTTGGGTACCCTGTCTTTTTTGGGGGGTACCCTCCCACCCTTTTCACATGGAACTTCTGGCTTGGACCATTTTCTATCTTAAGGGGACCGGGTCCCGAAGGTCAGGTTCCATGTTAATTGGTGTGAGGGTACCCTTTGTTAGGGTTGGTTTGCAGGGAAGCCAAAATGAAAACTGAACCATCATTGTTGGGTACCCCTGTTTTGAGACAGGCCCAAATGATGAGCTCCAACAAATTGGATGCTCTATCACGGGTGCGGGTGGCTCGTCCTTTGTTTTCATTGGGACCCACCTGTTTGTTTGTTTTTTTTCAATGGAAAACAAGGAGGACCTCGCGAGCATTTCGGGCGCCCTCGTTGAGACCCAAGTGGAGGCACAGTGCCCATGGCAGCCGGGAGGGTTTTCCACTGGTGCAAAGAAGCGGCAGCTCTCAGAGTGCTGCAGCTCCCGGACCTGGAAGAAGGAAAACGCATGGCGCGCAGTTTTGAAAACCGCCGTGAGGTGGCGTGGACTTTGTGTGGGCGAATGAGGCCAACCAGGACGTGCACGACCTTGTGCTGGGGAATCCTGGTTCTTGGCATGGGCGTGTCCTTTTTGGAGAAGGCCCGCCTTTTTTTGGTGGTTCGAAAGCAAGCCAACATGAAAACCGACGACAGCTTGGGGGGTCCGAAGCTTGAAAAACGAGCCACCGGTGTTCGGACGACCATATGGGTGCCTCGTCGGGTTTAGGATCGGGGCCCTCCAAGCAGCTTTGGTGTTTTGTTGGTTTCCCTAAACCACCAGAAAAGGGCCTCCCCGCAAAAAGAAAAAAACACTCACCATTCGCACCTGGTGTTTCAACCCCTACTCGAACTGGATCACAATGGCGGGGAAATTCTGACTAGGTTCATCCCGAAATCGGGGGCTGCTGGCACCAAAGGAGCCTTTCCTGACAAGTCTGGTTTTGAACTTCAATTGGGGACCCTCCTTATGGTCGTGCCGTGTGTTTTGTTCTTTTTCCCCAACAAATCCGCACATTGGGTTTGTACTTGGGATTTGTTAAAAAACGGTTGTACTTGATAAAAACAAATGCTAAACATCATCAACACATCTATGGGTGGCTCGTCCTTTTCAGGGCGCCCCATGCAAAAAGGGTCTTCTGTTTCTCTTTAGAACCACCCACAAAACGGTTACCCTAAGAAAAAAGCGACCATGCCACCTTTTCGTTGGGTGGCTTTTAAAGGGACGCCTCAAGGACTCTGGGGTCCCCAGCCCTTCCCACAGCGACCTCCGTGCCCGAGGAACCTCCGCGCGGCCGCAGCCGCGGCCGGGGGCTCGGCGTCCGCGCGCGATCGGCCCTGCGGCCAGTTGCTGCCGGAGTGGGCGGCGCCGGCGCGGTCCTGGCGCCTCAAGGAGAGATTTTGAGGCTCCCGGGCGGCGGCTCGTCGGCTTTTTTTGGGGCAACCACGGGGAGCCTCAAAAAACTGACGGACGCATGGAGGTTTTTGGCACCGGTTGTGTTTGAGGCCCGGTGTCATAAAATATGTGTTTCGGGTCGGTTTAGAGGGCTTTTGGGTCAAATCAAGGGAGTCATGTCAAGGGGCACCTGTTGAGGTTGGAGAAACACACCTGTCATGGTTTAGAATAACTTGAAAGGACACCAATCAGTTCCTCAAAATTAATGGGAGACCGTTTTTTGTTTCTTCTTCTTCTTCTTCTTCTTTTTCTTTATTTTTTCAAGGGCACCCCCTTGTTTGTGCTTTTAAGAGAAAGCCACAAGGAAAACCGCAAAGAAAAGGTCCCACCCGAATCATCCAGTTTAGGGACCACTATTCTTAAAAAGCCAAAATGCGAAAACTCCAGAGGAGGGCCTGAGCCTGCATGGGCGCCAGGGTGGTGACCATCCGGGCTGGCAAGACGAGGTGGGAGAATCACCGACCGGAGGGTGCAACAAGCCGCAGAGGTAAGGTTTGCACAGATCTTGTTTGAGCCAACTCCGGTTCTTCAAGAGAAGCCAGAAGGTTGCGTAAAGAAGATGGGACTAAACACTGTGGATGGACGGTTGGGTGCACCACCCAATGAATCCTGGTGTCTGATGAATCCCCTGTACCAACAAACGTTCTGGTTGCAACCACGGTTTCATTTCGTGGTGCGAAGGGATTTCGCCACCATCCGCCGCAAGGCTTGAACCAAGGGGCCCCGCTGAACCCGAGGCGGAGATGTTGGCCGACAAAGACTCGGCTTCTGCGGCCAAGGGCTGGCGGGCCACGCACTGGGAGTCCAAATCCATGCTGGGTTACTGCCAGGCAGGGTAGCGGCACCTGGCCATGACCATGGCCAGGAAGCAAGGTTGGTCCGACCATCGAGTTGGTTTCCCTTTCAATTTGTTGCCACGGCAATGAAGCCTTCAAGTTGAAACCAGCCTTGAAAGAACCTGGTTTCCCTCTCAAGTTGTGAGAAAAACACATGGCAATGCAGAAATGCGGTTGCAAGACCCTTCCAGGCGGCAGCCCCAATCGAACCCCAGGAACCAATTCAGGCGAACCCTTCTTGCAGCTGCAAGCCAAACGACCCGATTCGGAGCTTCTTTGGGCGACCAATTCCATAGCTTTCGGTTGGGACTTGGGACAAACAAAAAGGCGCCGTCCAAAGCGGGCCAGGCCTCAAACCGCCAATTCGACCTGGTGGATGTGGATGCCTTCGGATGCTGGGCTCACCTGGCGGCCGCATTGGAAACCGTGCGCCCAGGAGATCCCATCGCGGGGAGTTCCACTAACCAAACACGAGTTGCACCTTGGTATGTTTCTTTTTCGAGGCTAAAGTACCTGTTTTTGGTTGGGATGGTGGATTCAAAGGAGACACCAAAGGAAAACCACACGGTCATTTTGAGGGGTCCGACACGCCCAAATGCAATGACACCTGACTTACTGACTTACCAGTTGGAACTTTTGGTCCAACGTGGAAGACACCCCTCAATCCACCTTTTATTGGTTTTAGGTATACCAAGATCCTTTCTCTTACTGTTAATGAACAGGAACTTGGTTGGCCAAGGTCCGCGTTCTTCCATTGTGTCAACAAGTGGCTTGGGGGTTTGAACTGGTTCGAAAGGGATGGAACACCACCCCCGGAACACCAATCCAACCACGCATCTGCCCAAAACCCAGGCAGCGGTTACCTTTTTTTTATTATTAAGAAAAACAACTTTCTTTTTCCGTTTTCTTCTTCTTCCGGGCCACCAAACCCCTCAGGCCGCCATTTTCTTCGGGCCGAATTTTTTCCCTCTTTTTTTCCCGGCTTTCCGCGGGATGTAGAAAACTGACCCCAACACCCTCTAGCCCGCCATTTTCTTCGGACCGTTTTTTTCCCTCTTCCCGCCCCCGTTGTCGGCGGGATGGATTCAGGAGGCGTGCTGTACCTCACCTGCACGGGGCTCACTGCCTGGAAACCCTCCCGCAGCTTCCGGCGCCTCCGGGTCCGCGGCCAGTGCCCGCCGCCGGAGACGCTCCACGAGCACATGGCCCGGGCGGCGGCTCGGATGGAACTCGGCCCGTGTTGGTGGGGCTGAAAAGGGAAGCCCAGAAAGCGGTTGGCAATTTGGGGTCCTTTCCTTCTGGAGGGGTATTTATTTTAGTTTTTTTTTTTTTTTTTTTTTTTGGGGATTTTTTTTCGCTTTTGGCTTCTTGGCTTCTTGGCTTCTTGGCTTCTTGGCTTCTTGGCTTCTTGGCTTCTCGGCTTCTTGGCTTCTTGGCTTTTCGGCTTCTTGGCTTCTCGGCTTCTCGGCTTCTTGGCTTCTGGGCTTCTTGGCTTCTTGGCTTCTTGGCTTCTTGGCTTCTTGGCTTTTCGGCTTCTTGGCTTCTCGGCTTCTGGGCTTCTAGGCTTTTCGGCTTTTCGCATCCTCTGCATTCCCAGTTCCTCTTCGGCAGGTGGCGTTTTTCCGACATCAATGGGGGGGGCTGCCGGCCCCCCCCAACCCCCCCGCTACGTTTTAGATTTCCTGCAGAGATTTAATTAGTTGCACCCCTAGTTGAATCATCAATTCTTCGAACATCATGGGCCCCTAGTTGAATCATCAATTCTTCGACCATCATGGGGGGGCTGCCGCCCCCCCCAACCCCCCCGCTACTTTTTAGACTTTTTGCAGAGATTTAATTGCACCCCTATTCAAATCATCACTTCTGCAAACAACATCGTGGGCGGCAGCCCCCAACCCCCCCGCTGCTTTTTATATTTTTTTACAGGGATTGACATGCCCTCCTACTTGAATCATCATTTCTTTGACCCCGTCACACGATTTGTGGGTGATGCTAGGGATGTTGGTGGGACATGCGGGCTAGTGTAAAATGCGTCAATTTCGCGAGAACATGCTGTAAAATACGACACTTTACTGGCCCGGCAGAGATTGAATTGCACCCCTGTTTGAATCATCACTTTTTCGAGCGTCCAATTTCGCGAGAAAATGCTGCAAAATACGACATTTTAGGTAATCTGTGTAGTCCGTGTATGTCTGTATGTATGCATTTCTTCGAACATCATAGGGGAAGCCACCCCCGCCAACCCTCCCGCTGCCTTGTAAATTCTATCACACCCTTTCTTGAATCATTGCACCCTACTTGAATCACCACTTCTTCCGACATCATGGGGGGGCTGCCGCCCCCCCCAACCCCCCCCGCTACGTTTAGATTTTCTACAGAGATTTAATTAATTGCACCCCTAGTTGAATCATCAATTCTTCGAACATCATGGGGGGGGGCTGCCGCCCCCCCCAACCCCCCCGCTACTTTTTAGACTTTTTGCAGAGATTTAATTGCACCCCTATTCAAATCATCACTTCTGCAAACAACATCGTGGGGGGGGCTGCCGCCCCCCCCAACCCCCCCGCTACTTTTTATATTTTTTTACAGGGATTGACATGCCCTCCTACTTGAATCATCATTTCTTTGACCCCGTCACACGATTTGTGGGTGATGCTAGGGATGTTGGTGGGACATGCGGGGTATATTTCGCGAGAACATGCTGTAAAATACGACACTTTACTGGCCCGGCAGAGATTGAATTGCACCCCTGTTTGAATCATCACTTTTTCGAGCGTCCAATTTCGCGAGAAAATGCTGCAAAATACGACATTTTAGGTAATCTGTGTAGTCCGTGTATGTCTGTATGTATGCATTTCTTCGAACATCATAGGGGAAGCCACCCCCGCCAACCCTCCCGCTGCCTTTTAAATTCTATCACACCCTTTCTTGAATCATTGCACCCCTACTTGAATCACCACTTCTTCCGACATCATGGGGGCTGCCGCCCCCCCCCAACCCCCCCGCTACGTTTTAGATTTTCTACAAATTCTTCGAACATCATGGGGGGGGCTGCCGCCCCCCCCAACCCCCCCGCTACTTTTTAGACTTTTTGCAGAGATTTAATTGCACCCCTGTTCGAATCATCACTACCCCGCTCTGTTTTTCTTGGATTTTGTTACCCACCATTTGTTGGTGATGCTAGGGATGTTGGTCGGACATGCGGGGGATGTTGAAAACGATGCTGGGGATGTTGACGAGCTAGTGAAATGCGTCAATTTCGCGAGAAAATGCTGTAGCTGGCCCGGACGAAAAACGGAAAAAAATCAAAAAAAAAAAAACGGATAAAATTCCCAAAATAAATCCGCACCCTTTCCTTTTTGCCCTGAAGTCTTAGTTGAGTTTTGGTTTGGTAGAGTTGGGTTCTTTGGGGTACCTATTTACTCTTGAAGGGTTACACGTCACCTTTTTTCCTTTTTGTTGCCAATCCCAGCTTCCCTTTCAACCAACCCAAACAATGAACCCACAAAGCGTGCCCAAAGAAGACATGGCCAGTTCTGGCCTAAGAATTGGGGAATGAGCTGAAAAGGGATCCCTTTGAGGGAAGAAGGGATGATTGACAGGGGATGCTGGTTCCAGCAGGCGAAGGGGTAGTCCTCAACCGCTGGGTCGCACCAACAAAAAGTCAAAGTGAGTTTTGAGGGTCTTCCTCGGACCTAGCTTTCCAGCTCTCAGGAAGGCTGGACCCAACTGAAGGATACTGGAGAACTCATTCCTGTCAGTTGTAACTGCCCAGGTTTCTAATCCCCTTAAGGCCTTATCCTCTGCCATAGACTCGGGCCCCCATGAGTATTATCTTCCGCGAGTATTGTCTTTCATTGACCCCTGAAATCACTGTAAACCGCTGGATGGAGTTTTCTTCAGACTCCATTGATGCTTCATGATTTGGCCATGAATCATGCCCTGGCCATGCATTTCAATAAGAATCCGCCTCAGCCAGTTGTTGGGTGACACAAATCCCCACTTGAATGGTGTCCACTTCGGGGTTGATCTCGCGTCCAGCCACCGAGAGCCAGGTGATTTGGCACACGGTGTCCAGCGCCGACCAGCTGGGCCTGGCTGCGCAGCCGCTGCTGACCCTCTACCGCGCCAGTGGCGGCTCGGCGAAGCTGCGAGCGCGTCACTGGGGAGCCAATTCTGTTGCAAAACAAGTGGCTTCCTTTGGTGTCCCTTGAAATGACCCCAAGAATGGCCCTTTTTCTTTCTTTCTTTCGCAAAGATGAGGGGGTTCCTTTGGTGCCCTGTAAAACCCCATGGCCTAGCAAAAAAGACCATTTTTTGTTTAAAGCTCCGCAAGGCTTGTTTCTGGTCTCCTTACCAACTAAAAGCAGGCCGGCCATTAAAGCAAACAAGCTTCCAAGTGCCACGTGTGAACGGGAAGCGCGTTTGAGTCTTTGTGGAGTTGCAATTCAGGGTCCCCTACAGCGAACCCAAGTTTGAGCCTCCGAGCGTATCTTTTTCAGGACGTCGCTTCGCACGACAAATTTTTCGTGGCGAGGCGACGTCTACCGAGTCATGTTCCGCATCACTCGGCGCTTCGGCGAAAGCCGGCTGATCTCCAAGTCGGTGGGCCAGTGCCAAGTCTGCGGCGCCTACGTTGGACCCTTTGAGGAAGATGCGCTCTATGGCAGCCTGCCTGAAGTCGCAAGCCGCAAGCACCCCCTCCCAAACCTAATGTTAACCCCGGATTAGTAAAGCCCTGGTTGATCAATAGGGGGTGTCCCCTTGTAGTGGGGATTCATCACTTTTGGCGGGAACACCCCCCGAATAAGGGGACGGGGTCAACATCAGGCCGCAAGAAAAACCTTTAACCCTCCTGGCCGCGTCCCCGAACCCAAACCCTGGCCATCCACCAGAGCCAAATTTCAGGTTTGATCTGGAGAATATGCGAAGGGTACCTTTTGCTGCTTGAGACCGCACGAAGGCCTTCGCAGGCCTTCGGTGCCGCAACGCGGAACCACCAGAAGATGCCTTTCAGCAGACTGGTATTTCATGAACTGCATGGTTCATGGTTGCACTTGTAGTAGAGAAAAAGTGGTTTCTTCATCAAAAGATCAAACCCCATGTTGTTGTTGTTTTAATGAAGGGGGCATGGTTTTCTGCATCTTGTTTTTAAACTCCCAATCTCGCCGGCTTTGATTTTCTCGCCGGACTTGTTGTGGAGACCACGGCATCGCGCTACTCCATACCGTGGCCTCTGGCTTTTATGTCAAAGGACCTTTTTCTTCCCTTTTCTAACACAAAAACTATCACTGGCCGAGAAATGGCTTCTATGTGAAAAGGCGGAGGTCCAGCTCCATCTTGGGCTCGTCCGCTTCCAGGCACCCCGGCGCGGCGGCCTCGCTGCTGCGGCTCGGATGCGCTGGTCCCCCGGCGCGGAAGCCGTAACGTCAATCTCAAGGGGGCGGGGGGTCCAAAAGATCCGGTGGAAGGACGCAGCAAGAAGAAATCGATTTGGGATCAACATATTTTTTCCAGGATCAAGTAGAAATGGTTCAGAGCCAAAAAAAGAACACTCGGGCACAGAAACAAACACAACTTCAGGTGAGGACTCACAAAAACATGCTTGCGGATAAGGTTGCGGATAAGGCAGGCTGCTTTGCGAGGTTGGAGAGTCATGGTGCGTGCGCAGGCAAGCTGCAACCTTGTCAAAGGATTGAGGATGGCCGTCGAGGTCAAAAAGCTGATGGCTATGACTATGATTTTCCTTGGGCATTTGGATGCAGACGGCTCGTGATAGTCGATTCGTTTCGAGGCAAGGGATCGACACATGCCATTTTCATTAACTGCTGAGAAGCGAGACACTAACTACAAGCAAGTTGCTAGCCGACATGGAATCATTGCCAAAGTGGTCGTTGTTTTCCCAGGTCTGCTGGGGTCCTCTTTGGATGGGCGGCTTGCATTCAGAGTCTTGGACTGGCAATGGAGAGAGTTTAGCATTGTCAACCATTCTCAAGACAGGTGCATGGTCCAAAAGCCCTTTAGAGATGGCATCAACCCTTCAATCCGGATTTTAGAGACAAGGATTCTGGGAACGAGTCTTGACCATGGCACATATGCTCGCCATGCCAGGATGAGTTCATTCATGAGCTGCAGCAGGATGCAAGCGATCGGGGCTGGTTGGACGACGAGACGCCCATTCCAGGCCAGACATGTAGCAACTCACATTCTGAGTTGGTGGGATACTGCAGTACAAACAGCTCATTGGAATGGTCATCATCCTTTTTGTATGAGAGCCTCATGATCTTTGCGCGAACCATGAGAACCATCTTTGTACTCGTTTGGTAATGTCCTCCGAAGGAGTGCCCGCATGGTTTGCTCACAAGCTTGGTGAATTTTGTTTGGCCCATCAAATTGGTCAAAAAGGTCCACAGGATTCACCATGACACATAGAACTTTTGTTAGGGCCCCTCAAACACAAACACAGCTCCAAACATTGCCTGTCTATTTCACGGGGTGAGCGTGACACATCCTAGCACACTTGTGTGAGAAAGGCACCGACAGCCTCGGGGACCTGCTTGCGAAACTGCTCAGTGAGGCGCGGGCTGAGGCAGCTGCGCAGGCCGGATGCTCCAAGATCGGATGTATCAAGCGGGGTGTCCCCATGATGGACACTTGGGGTCGATTTTGCAACCACTTTCTTTTGGGGGTATCGGTTTTTCGGGGGTTGCTGCAAAATTTGTGCTCCCGTGTGCATGGCACCTAATATGTTTTGCTGATCGCCTGCTTTGCAGCCATTGCAACTAGCTTCTCACGGCCAAGAAGGGTCTTCCTTTGCTTTGAACTCTTTTACTGGCTACAAAACATGGTTAAGATCACTTCCCTCATGATCCAAAAAGGGGCTCTCCCGATCTCCCGAAAGCGAGGGCGCCTGTCAGGGTGCAGACGCCCACGAGTCGCTTCCTTGACCCCCATGTATTCGTTTTAACCATTTCCCCCCCCCCCCCCCGCCTTGTGTTCAGCTTGGAGGGGACATCATCAGCCGGCTCTGGAGTTAGGAGCCAAAGGAGCTTCCGACCTGGCCAGAGCTTAAACTTCGATCCATTTCCATGGCCAAGCAGATTGGCGAGTTTCCTTGCGCCTTGGGTTTGGGTCCGTCCAAAAAGGCGACCGACTCCTCCGCAGGCCTCCGGGGAGGCTCTGGCGCCCTGGACGCTGCGGGTGCGGGAGCTGGCGCGGAGGGCCAAGTCCTCCCCGCCGAAGCTCAAGGCCCTCATGGAGGACCGAGGGGCAAAGCGAGGGACCGGGGCTGATTGGAGGGTTTCGATTGGAGGTAGGAGCCAGGCAACTGCAGGTTTGAGTCTACTGGTTCCCATTTGCCAGGTGCTTGAGCCACACCCATTTTCACAGTGTCTAATGGGACAGTTAGAGGGGGTCATGCTCCTGGGTGAGTCATGGAGGAGTTAATTACCCCATGAGATGGGCTTTCAGTGTTACTTTGCGGAGGAGTTTCCTCTGAGCAGGAATGCCCCCAAACACACACCCATGTCACGGGCCGTGCTGGGAGGTTTCCAGAGGCTGCCTAAGGACGCTTGTTTTCTCCTTCGCCGCGAGGTTTTGCTTCGGGCGTTGAGTGGGGGTGTCTGGGTTACGAGTTTGACCTCATGGCCCGGTGTCCTTTCTGCTCAACTTCTGGGTGCTCCCTTCGAAAATCCTCCGCCCTTTCCTTTTTTCAGTTAGATTGGATAGATGGGTTCCACTGGTTTAGATGCATGTTTGTTCCATTTAGGGCCATCCTATCTCCTCCCTTCTTGGCCCAGGCATGCCAGACTGTGGCTCAGAACCGCGCTTGCCACACTCGGCCCACGAGATCGGCGCAGGAGCTGAGCTCCCTGGGGCATGTCGCTTGCAGATCCGCCTTCGGCCCAGAAGCTCGCTTGGCAGGGGGGAGTGGATGGAGTCAACTGTTGGAAGCCCTTTGAGGCCTTCATGGGGGGTGGGGGGGTGGGTGCGGGGAAGGGGGGGAGGGGGGGTTCTCTGTTTCCCACTGACTTGAGCTGCATGCAGTCTGTGACATGCGAACATTTCGGCCCAAAGGCCCTTCTTGCGAACATACTAGACAGCGGACATCATATAAGCACATCCTGAACTTCCTCAACATCCATCACTTGATACTACCATATCGGTTCTGAGATAGATCCAGGGGGACAGTGAACCGTGACAGTACGGAACCTATCCCTTCTGGGGTACTAAATCATTAGCCTCCATGAGCACAATTGTGCAGGTTAGGTTTTTCAGACAAAGACGATGTCATCAGACGAGAACATGGACGTCGGCACGAGTGCCGGCTGACCAGGCGCAGCGCTGCGGAAGCAATCAACGTGTCAATGGCTGCCAAGTTGCCGCCGAAAATTGGGACGTCCCCTCAAGAGCAGACTGAGTGGCGATGCCCTCATGTACCTGGTGTTGCCAGACAGCGATCGGCCCAGAGATCCCAATGAAGGAGTGGATTGCTTCGAGAAGACGCCCAAGAAGTACCGGAGAAACAACGACGAGTTCACCACATAAAAAACAAAGTTTGAGAAACAGCTTCGGGGACTCGCATCATCATGGAATGACCGAGTCCTACAATCACGGTGCAGTCGCCTCAGTATCTCCAAGCAGCGCAAGACGGTCATACAAGACTTGCAGCCGCAGCTATCAGCCGCCCAGAGCCCATGCGGATCCGAATGAACGGAACCGAGACTTTTAGGCATTATGTTGATGCATGACCTTTTCCATCTTCCAGAGTGAGTTGACCGACCAACAAAGAGAACGTGGAATGTCATTGAGAAACATTTTGCACGATGTGCTCACAGTCAGAAAGGTGTCAGGGCGAAGTTTGAAAACAGGCCGAAGAAGAGGCGAATCAAAGGCAGAACGGGTGCTCGCCAACGAGGCTGATTAAAACCCCACAGACGATGGGGTAAGAAAGGAAATACAAATTCCCAGAACAGCAAAGGAACTTACAAGGAAGTTCCAAGACATCTGCCGAGAGCAATAGCAGCCGCTGATCTCTCAGCTCCAGCTTATGGTGCGCGTGACGGGATGAGTCGTCGTGGTGTTGGAATAAGAAGAGCTGGTGCCACGTCGTGAGGGCGCCAGCCAAACACACATGGCAAGGATGGCAAGTCATGATGCTTTTCAACCGACTGCATTTCCTACGAGCGCAGATCAGCTGGACCTTGCATCTTGCGGTTCCTCTGCAGGAACGTTATGTTCTGATACTCCTCAGAACGGACAGGCGCGGAACTTGTACGGTGTGGCAAAACTGAAGAGTTATGGAGAGTTTGCTTTGAAGAGCCTTAGTCACTATGTCTACGCCGAAGATAACAGCGTCAAGTTTCCACCAACAGACTAGTGACCGAGACCGTACGCGCGTCGAAGTCGACAGTGACTCCAAACTGTTGGGCGTGAAGAACAGGATCGCTGGAATTTCGACGAGAAGAACAGCCGATTCAATCGTACCCAACTCACTCGTGTTCATGTGACACTGCGAGAGGCCTTTACTCACACCGAGCATCTTGCCTATCAGGTTGGCCGACAGGGCGCAAGTGATATCGGCGTACTTCTGCAATAAACAGCGCATTCACTTTGTTGTGCGTTGTTGAAAAGGAAGATGATTCTCACTTGTCGTTACACATTGTGTTCATGGCCCCGATAGGACCCTTAGCTTAGTTTTCAGCTGGCGCAAACTATTTTGACGAGGCTGGCGTGCGGCGCTCAGCAAGCGCGTGTCAGGTGTAAGTTGTTGTTGTTCTGACACGCTTTTCCACCACGTTCGTGTGAATTGATTGTTGAATTGCTGGCTTGTTTGCTTTGGCTTGGAAAAGCCGGCTCGCGGCGCGGGAGGAACAGATGCGGCGCGTCGGAGTATGGCCGCACACGCTTGAAGGGATACCAGCATGGAACCCAGCAGACGGGAGCTTTTTTTGCATGTCCACCCTTGGTGTCCTGTGATTGCATGTCATGGCACGCGTGGTAGCGAGCAGACTGGTTTTGAGGAGCGCCTGCTCGACGTGTCTTGACTGTAGGTTGTCGCGCAGATGGCCTCTGACAAAGCATACTTTCAGCGTTAGGGGGAAAAAGGGGGCCCGCCTGATCGCTCGTACTCACCACAGTTCCTAAACGAAAAACAAGAGACCAAGAACTCCTTGCCCGCTTTGTCGCACGAACCGCTCTGATCCGTAAAGTCCAGCCCTGCAAGATCAATGGAGAGGCGTGTGAAAACAGGACGAAGCCTCTTTCACCAAGAGCCGCGTCTGATCTGGCGAACGATCGCGACAAGTGTCACACTTTGACGGAGGCGGCCGCTTGTCGGCTCAGGTGGAGGCGTTGGTTTCACGTTCCTTTTTTTTTTAAATTAAAAAAATGAAACACTTGACTCGCGAGGCTTTGCCAAGCGGGCGAAGGCAAAACACGCGCATCTTGTGGGCGAGATTTGCCTAGTAAGGTCCGATGGCACGTTTGACGTCAATCAGACCGAGCCTTCTTTGACCGTCCTTGCGGCTCTATCTTCCGTTTTATTGTCAGTGTTGTTTGGAGACTTGCTTGCTTCTTGACGCAGCTGAGGCAGGTAAGTTGCCAACCGGGACGTGGCAAGTGTGTTTTGGCGGCAGCAGCCAACCATGATGTGAGCGATCGGCCTTAACTTGCAATGCAGTTGTCCTCGCAACAATGCGGCGCATCTGCAGATGCCAGTGTTTCAGGCGAACTGATGCCATGAAGGCCTTGGTTGGAAACGCTGGCAACGCTGATGGCCAGGGCGACCCAACCTGCTGTTGCGCTTTGTCAGCTTTTGCCCTCTCTCTCTCTCTCTCTCTCTCTCTCTCTCTCTCTCTCTCTCTCTCTCTTCCTCTCTCTCTCTCTTTCTCTCTCTCACTCACTCTCTCACTCAATTTTTCTGTCTCTCTCTCTCTCTTTCTCTCTCTCTCTCTCTCTCTCTCTCTCTCTCTCTCTCTCTCTCAGATCTCCCTCTCATCTCTA